CAGAAACTAATTTTAATGGTAAAATTTTTTAAATTGCTTTAACTGTACTTTGTGTTTTATGTTTTGTACATCTTTCAAATTTTAATAAAAATATTCTGAATTTTTATGCATATTTGCCTTGCCGCGAAATGAGAACTGAATTACTAGCACATGCGCATTACGTAAGAGGCGCCGATTAGTCGGTGAAAAACTCAAATTTCTTTTATACATTTAGATTTTATAGTATTTGAATAGAACATGTTGTAATTCTTCAGATGTAATTTTTGTGCACAGTTATAAAATGAATGAGATGTAATGTTGTTAAGCGAACCTACCGCCGAAGTGTCGCTATAGTAAATACACATAGTGAACTTTAAAGAGTGAATTTATTCTACAGTGGTTTATATGCGCTATCGACGAAGTAGATTTAATTCAAAATACAATAACTGTTAATGCGTTTAAATGAAATGCAGGAAATTTGCGTATAATTTAATATTCGGTATAAGACGAAGTCATGTGGTATAAACATCAGATTATTTTAAATATAATGCAAGGCTCTAATATTTGGTGGTTAACGATTTGAAAAGTGAACCAACGTAAAATGCCAAAAAGAAATCAATAGCCTTTCTGGGCAAACTATACCTTTCGGCTAAAAAAAAAGCAGTAATTGTAGATTAAGGTTTATACCAATGAGCTTTTCGCAGACTTATTAGAATCCAAGGCCAAAAGTGATAAATTTGCAAGTTATATTTAGCAGAAGTGTCCTAGCTAGGCAATTTTGTCATTCGATTTAACTCTTAAAAAATCTGAAAAACTTAATAAAAATGCATATACTCAATTATATGAAGCATTAAAAGGAAAAATTTACCGAAATTGAAACTTACTTTTGTCCAGTCAAACTTCAAATCTTCAATAGACATATTATCGTGGAAATTAACAAAAAAATCGACAGCTGAAAGATTCAAAGAATTAATTTTAAGTATGTATGTTCCATATTTTGTTCAAGCACTTCATTAATCATTTTAATATTAATGATTCTGGAAAACTAGCTACCACTTAAAAGTGCGAGTTTACACGCGGCTACAGGTCATGGTTGGTTGGAGTTTTTGTTGTGCCATACAAAAGCTTGTTCATTTTCAAAACTTAGGGCTACAGGTCAAATTGTCATCCAGTTTTAAAAACAGCAGCCGTACGAGTTCTCGATACGTACCAAATTTTGATTATACTTATTTCCACAAATAAAATATGCACGATTTACCGTTTTCCGTTAATGAGTTTAAGCAACTCAGAAAAGTCAGTATTAGGCCGAATTTTGGAAAGCATGTAGCGAATCATTTATGTAGAGCTTCGTTAAACCTGTCTAGTTTCGGCTTTCTCATGGCTGACTAGCTTACAACTCAAAGGCAGTTTGTGGCGAAAATTTAAGCTACGAGGTACGAATTTACAAAATAATATTTATTAAAACTTCAGATTCTGTGGAAGCTACCAAGTAGACAGTTTTCTATGACGCAACAGGAATGAGTTTAGGTTTGAAGGTCTTTTGTTTCGGACAATATTAAAATTTATGCTTTCCAACCACACTACAGACAAATTTACATGTATAAATATTCCTAATCCCTTTCAAAGGATCGTTTAGATCGCACATTCAATGAACTTTACATCATATGACTTGACTGGCTAGTTTTTATAGATCTCGGTGTATAAACTATACTTTGGCTCCATTTTTGCCATTTGAAATTAAGGAAACATGTTTTCAAAATGTTCTGCTGGCTTAATTCCGTCTTACAAATAAAATTTGATGTTCCTTGCATCTAAATTTAGATTTATTGATTATGATAAAGCACATGAAGGATATTCATCTAAGAGAAATGCTTCACTGGACAACTTTCCAAGGAAACTAGCTACGTTACATATGGGGAAATATCCATGCAGCCTGCACGTTAACAGATTTTGAACCCAGGTCGAACTATTAGTATTCTACAACTTTACCGCTCGGTGACTGGTGGGCTGAACAATTAAAGCAGCAAGTATAGACAAAATCAGTTTTTTTTTCTAATTACACCCGTTTCCCAAGTGGCTTGAAAATTTTATATTACTGATTTAATACTCTATTTTCCTATAAATGTTGTTAATTTACATTTCAGGTTTACGAAGTAATTTTCGATGTTTTACAAATTATACCTATTTGAAATGAAGATTATCAATTCATTAAACACTTTCACATATTTTAAGAACAGTTCATCTTTCAATGCGATACAAAATTATGTAAACCGAGTTTTAAAAGGTTCGAAATACTCAAGCTTTCTGGATTTGATGCTTCATCGGCACTTACGTATTAACATAACTAACTTGGTCCTTCTTATAGAAGAAACAAGAATGTTACCTAAACACATTTTCTTTTAGACATTTATCTCGAAGATCAATCAATGGATCCAAGCCAGTTTTAATATCTTTAATTATGAAAATTTCATGGCGATCGCTACAATATTTGTGCGGATAAGGACAGGGGCGCTAGTCACCACATACGCATCATTGCACAAATGGGAATAATCTGTTTATATCACGTCAACAATAGCATATTTGCGAAAAGGCCGGATAGAATGATATCAAACCAGCAATTTTCCGACCTAGAATTCAGTTGCTTCACCAAATCTGTACTCTGAAATTTAAGTTTCTCTTTTTTTTAATGAAAACAGATCGCTGTATACATGGAGCAACGAAACGAATACCATGTACACTGATCTACTTTGGCTTAATGTTAGAATGGCACATCCTTCGATTTGTGCACATTAAACATGCATATTATATTCATTATATGTAGATTGTAACAGATGACACGAGTCATTCTTAAAACGTAGCATCAGCTGCAGGTTCCGTCATGCGAGATACGTCAAACTATAAACATTCCTTTTTTTTCAGGTCATGCGACAACGAAAGTTAGAACTTGGAACGCATCGCGCTAGCTATGTAGTTAGAAACTTAACTTTCTTTTTTAATACTTGGCAATTCATAAGAATATTGGTGTTAGTCATACTTAGTTGTTTTAATGAGTAGCCCTGAGATTCTTTTATGATTGACAAGAAAAATGTGTTATCAGATATATTAATTATTCTTCTCATGAAGCTTTAGGTATCTTTGGCTTTGCCACCAAATAATTACATTTCGCGCAATATTCACGTTTGGCACTAAGCAGTGCCCCATTAACGGAAAGGAACGAATAAATATTTACAAAAATTTACAATGTGTGCATAAATTATCGACTTACTAGGGTAAGGCAAGAGAGCTTTTATAAATCCTTGATATACCTGCGTGTAAACATCTTCTGGAGATTTAATACTGCAAAGGGAAGCAACTGTTATAATTCTGACAATGAGGTTTTTCAAAGATACTCGAAAAAAATGTCGGAGAAACTTACATATCATTACTGAGGCCACTAAAGTTTCGAATTCTCAAGTCGCAAATATAATCTACTCCCATGTGTCTCAGCAAATTTGCATCATTTTGCAGTGCTTTCAGGTACTTAAGACTCCTGAAAAAGAATTACGTGATCCATGAATTTATACTATTGAAAAGTTTATTACAAATGTATGAGCAATAATAAAATTGTTATACCAGTGATTTAAACTCAAATAGTTATCTAGTTAAGCAAGATACAATAATACGACGAACAAATATTAATTTAGAAGTCACAACAACGAAAATTCCAATTCATCTTTGCGTTTAAGGAAATTATGCTTTAGTTCTCGTTTCATCAACAGCTGGTGCCAGTAGCTTAACTCCCGTCCAATCTTTCTTAACTAATGACTATATCTTATTTCGTTCTTTTGCGCTTTTCCAGCTGAGGATGATGGTTCTGTTAAAACCATCAGAACTAGTTCTGTGAAAATTTGAATATAACGCTGATTTTTTTTTTGTTTGACTTCCAAATTAAAGTCTAGTTTTCTACTCGGCCATTCGCATAATAAACACATGACTAGATATTAAATTCAGAGTCATAATATTGGATTCTTCCAAAATAAAAATTGGATTCTTCCGAAACAGATGGAGCCTTTCAAAAGCAGTCGTAACAAATTCACATCAGCAGTTAAGGGAAAAGAAATTACCTTTTGCTAGAAATTACATTTACATTTTAGCAGACATGAAAAAGCTGCACTGTGTTAAGAAAGCTATTAATGATTTGTTAGACAAAATATCACGAAACTAAATTTAAAAGAGTAATATTATTCTCTAGAAGCCCATTCATCCTAATAGCAAGGATGATAATTTTAAGTTCAAGTTTAACAATTGACTAAATGGTTTGTTTTATTTGATTATGACAAAGCACGCTAAAGCTATCTGCCTATGGTGAGGAATGCCTTTGTGGAGGAATTTCTAAGGGAGACTGTCTTGTATCCATAGTACCAGCTAAATTAAAAAGGGCCTTAGTTTCGAGGGAAAATAAAGAAGCCGTTATATCCTTCACCGATAAACATTTGAAATTTAACATTAAATAAAGTATTTGCTCTGTGAGGTATAATTAGGTTAGGAATGTTACCAAAAAGCTTACAGAATTCTGGATTATCAAAACAACTAGAATGTACCGAAATTTTAATCTGAATTTCGCTTCTTTTTTATGTGAAGAGTTCTTTTTAGTGAAGAGATTTTTTTGTGAAGAGATTCTTTTTTATGTGAAGAGAATTCTTTTTTTATGTGAAGAGATTGAAGAGATTCTTTTTTTATGTGAAGAGATTCTTTATGTGAAGAGATTCTTTTTTATGTGAAGAGATTCTTTTTTATGTGAAGAGATTCTTTTTTATGTGAAGAGATTCTTTTTTATGTGAAGAGATTCTTTTTTATGTGAAGAGATTCTTTTTTATGTGAAGAGATTCTTTTTTATGTGAAGAGATTCTTTTTTATGTGAAGAGATTCTTTTTTATGTGAAGAGATTCTTTTTTATGTGAAGAGATTCTTTTTTATGTGAAGAGATTCTTTTTTATGTGAAGAGATTCTTTTTTATGTGAAGAGATTCTTTTGTGAAGAGATTCTTTTTATGTGAAGAGATTCTTTTTTATGTGAAGAGAGATTCCTTTTTTATGTGAAGAGATTCTTTTTTATGTGAAGAGATTCTTTTTTATGTGAAGAGATTCTTTTTTATGTGAAGAGATTTTCTTTTTTATGTGAAGAGATTTTCTTTTTTATGTGAAGAGATTTTCTTTTTTATGTGAAGAGATTGCAAGATGCGATTAGATACTTGCAGGAAATCACTCAGAATTGATTTCAGTTTATTAATTTACCGTTTCAGTATACTAGCGCTATTTGCAGAAAGGAAGATTTTACCTTTTTCTAAAGCCTTTTAAAGGTAACTGGCCACACATACCGTTGCGTGGTGTAAAAAACGAACGCCAATGCACTCCTTTCCCTGGATTTTGAAGTCCAATAAAATGATATTCAGCTGTCTTACCCGCAACGCCGTTTGTGAATCAACTATATTCTACTGCTTTCGTTTGGTTTATTCAACTAATAGAAGCACTCGCGGAAAGACCGCGAAGGAAACTTATGAAGTTTAACACTTTTCAGAAAGTTCGTTCTTGCAAAGCGTCGAGGAAGACTGTCCAGCAAACTGTCTGGTATCCACGTTACAAATGGGGAAAACATGAAAACGCCGATGCAGCCAGTCCTTTCGCCTGGAATCAAATACATGTAGAAGTACCAATGTTCAGTTATTTTACTGATCGGACTGCTGGCAGTCTCATGTTCTAGTGAAATTCACTTGGGAACAAAATACAACTCGCGTCTTCAAATTCTGATATTAAAATTCTAAATTTTTAATTTAGTATTAGCAGGCATTCAACCGACTAATAATATTATGCTCATTATAAAATTTCTGATAAAAGTTCACTTACTCTAACAGATAGTTTGCAACGTCAATAGTCATGCCATAGGTCTCGATTTTCTGCCAACTGCAAAAAATAAACATTACCTTGATACAAGAAATTTACACTGTTCTAATAAAGCAAATTAGAAAAACAAATCTACATTGTGATTAGAACCGAAATTTTTGGAAAGGCTAAATTTTCCAATTAACGCTACCTAAATACTTTATTCACAGCACAGTTTCTGCGAAAGATACGTACAAGCAGTCAAAATATTGCATTTTTGCAAAATGTAACGACTTTCTGAAAATCAATGCACTGTATTTCTTTACACTGATAAATTCAAGTAAACACATTTCGCATTCATATAAAATAAAGGAAGTAAATAATTGTCACGAAAAATCTGCGCTCATTAGATTAAAACGTATTAAAATGTACAGGTTGTATTTACATATGGTCAAGCACGTATGTTTCTGTCTAAAAAGAACATGTCTTCATAGAACACTTTCTAAGACAAACTGCCTGGTATTCATGTTATATATACATGGGGAAACATGAAGACCTCGGGGCTCAAACTCTTAGTATTCAACGGTTTTAACCACTTCGCCAGTTACTGGGACCTAAATGTTTAGCAGTTAATAGTTTGTAGAATATTATTTTGGGTTATTCGCTTTTGAATTGAGCTTACTAGTTTTGCTTATTCTATTTTTTCTTTCGCAAATCTTTAATATTTTCTTTGCAATTCTATCATGTATTTGCTCTATGAGGCCAGCAAAGCCTACAAGTGCTCTATTGAATTCAAACGTAGCTACTAGCACGCGGCTGTTTTACCTCATTATATATTAGCCACAGGAGAATTACTTTAGCAGAGTGCTGAAGGTCGTTATAGTGTTAGTAATAATCTTGAATTCCCAGAAATACTTTAAATTTCCAGTTAAAATGTTTAATTATTTCGTCATGGTTTATGGCATACCTCCTTGTTCGTATACAGAACATTACACGTATAGACGACGTCCTAATGATTCTTATCTTAATAACCACTGAAAGTTTGAATTCACCATGCAAAAATCCAAAAGAGATCAGTGTGCTTTAATATTTCCTTAGTGCTGAAAAGGATGTCAAGCAAATGAAGGATACATTGTGGGATGAAAATGCATGGCCAATAGAAGTTCATCCTCTCTTTGAAGTTGGTTCTGGCAACTATTGTTCTACGTAACGTGGACGGCAACAACAAATGAGTCTCCGAAACCGATTGATGGCAATTTCTGGCAGAAAACCTTGCGAGATTGTCTGCACCAAACAAAGGGTAAAATCAATGAATACAAAGTATGTTGCAACAACTGCTTTTATTAGATCATTACATTACCATTCATCGAGCAGTAAATCCAGAGGTAAATGATTATTCAGTTTGAGTTGATGTTAAAAGTTTCATATGGAAAATTACCATGCATTTTAAAAACAGTGATGGAACGGACAGCGTTTGCATCTCTGAGCGTCTAGATTACCGGAATAGTTACATCTTTGAATTTCTGAAGATGGCGATGAAACATCGAAAGCGACCAGGAGCGCAGCTTAACACTCCGCCTCTGAATATGAAGCAACATGTTACAATAATTGCTTCCTACAAAGATAAATGCATACAGAAACTCGCAAATTATCTCCAACGGAAAACTAAGTATATCTTACAATGCTCTACCTAAAAGCCATATGCTGGAACGATATACTTCTGAATTCTTTGGAATTTAAAAACACACTTTCAAGCATTGTCGCTTACGACATTTTCTATTAAATTTACAAATACAAGCCAAACATTTCCGTCACTGTGTGCGCAAAATTTCTACTCATTTTATTTTTGTGAAAATTTGTTAAGAGCAATGCATTTTAACTGAACTAATTAAGAAACATTAGGAAATTTAATATTTTCTTAGGATAAGTTAATATGCCAGTTTCCTAGGAAATCCGATGCATTTTTGAATGACATACTAAAACCTTATATGTTAATTTATTAGGAAGCTCTTTATTGCTAAGTGCATAAAAAGAGAAAAACGGCTCGTAATATCACCTATTAGACGAAATTCTCGAGAATTGCCTGTAGCTGTTCAATTAAAGAATTTGGGCTAAATCAGGGCATCGGTCATAATGGTGGTCGGTGTAACTGGGAATTTTGAATTGTGCCCTTGTAACCAGAGAAACTGATCTTAAGCATACAATTAGTTTACGAATTACAGCTTTTAATTAAGGGAAGTTGTATAAGCTTTATTTCACACGTTTCATTCGATTATTAAAATATTACTTCAATATTCATTTTTATTCCACATATAATCTAGCATTTGATATTTTTACAGAACAAGAATATAGTTTATACAGAGGAATATTTTCATCGAAACATACTGGAAATATCTTAGAGGTAGAGCTTCCCTAAAATGCAATTTAGATGCGTTTTACGTCCACATGCAGTTTCAAATACTTAAAAGCTTTTACAGTTAATACCATTTCATTATTCTTCTGGGATATACAGCTGTTAAAAACTTAAAATAGCGTATTGAAACGATTATACTTACCTTTCTGCATCTTGTCCCGCCTCTGAACGCCATAATGAAGCTGCATTTTCATGACATGCTGAAGAACGGCAAATATACTGAAATTGGAGAGAAACAATTAGTTGATTGCTTCAAAGCACACAAAGGCTGTAACACTCACGGAAAAATAAATCTTCCCTGAAAGAGTTTCGAATCAGGATGTTGAACCATGAAAGCACAGTAAATTCTTAAATTAACGCCTTTTTACAAATTTACCGTCTTTATTGCCTCTTTACAAAATTTTAAATGATATTAAAATGTTTATGCCTTCAAAAAAAATTCTTAGAAATAACATTTGTTAACATCTTTTATTTATGTATATTGTATGTTGTCGCCAATAAAATCTGCTTGGCGAGATTTGCACCGGTGAAATGGAAAAGTACCGTTTATTTTTTCTTACATTCCATTCAGTGATATTTGTACTTCTACATTTCGATAGTCAAAAAATTTTCACAATCAACTATTAAGTTTTTAAAGTCTAAATATACGTTAATATTCTCACGAAATTTTATTAGTTTGGAATGAATCAGGTACTTAAAATAAAGGTCATTTAAGTACAAATTTTCTGCCGAAAACCATCAGCATTTTCTAGAATATGAATTCTATAAATCGTAAAAGTTTGTGTGAATAAGATCTCCATTCAGAAAATTAATATTCATCAATAATTTTTACAATAACCTGCGTATGGAAATGATCTTTGACTCAGAAAACTTTATACTTTATTTTAAATTATGTACAAATGCAAACATTCCTCCAATTTGCATTCTGGTCTTTAATATGATTCCTTATTTTAATATCAAGTCTTCTTTCGGTCAACTTTTATGGCACAAGTCAAACTGTTTTGTTTTTCATAACAAGGACAAACATTTCCTAAATATAAGCATATGGGTCGAAAGAAGGCAAAATGTTAAGTTCTGTATTTTACACGAAATTTCTCAATTTGAGAGCTATACAAACTGGTAGAATTTTTAGCATTAAATTCCACGTTTAGTTCTCAGTCCTTAAAAAATCTGATGTGTCCACCACATGAATTCCTTGTAAAGAATATTAAATTATACGCATTTTTTCTTACATTTCATTTAAACTTATTGGATTGAATTAAATCTTCGTCGATAGCGCATAAACCACAATAGAATAAATGCACTCTTTAAAATTCATTATACTTGTTTACCACAGCGACCCTCTGGCCCTAGGTTCACTTAACAGCGCTACATTTCAATCTTTTTAACTCATAAGGCACAAAATTTATATTTTAAGAATTATCTAATCGTTGCCACATCTTCTATTCAAATTCTATAATAAATCTAAAACGATGTATAAAAGAAATTAAGCAAAGAACAAAAAAAAAAAAAAAAGAAAAAGAAAGTTTTTCATAGACGATTCAGTATTTGTCATTCAATTAATTCATTTCTCACTTCGCGACAAGGCTAAAATACATAAAAACTCACAATGTCTGTATTGAAAATTATGAAATAAATCAAACACTTATTTCCTCGAATAAATTCCAGAATGGATTAAGCATGATTTAATTCGCAATAATAAAAGAAGGCGTTATATTAGTTATTGCGAAGCTTACTATCTCTAGATTGGTAACAAATCTATTCTGTTTCAAATGTAAACAAGCAATGGCCGACATGACAAAAATTAGGCTTAGCGAACTTAAACAACTTTTGAATTTATAACAATTCTAAAAATATTGGATACAGATTTATAAAGGCAATAAAACCCTTAACCGGAAGATAAGAACAGCATAATTCAATCATTTTTTAAAACAAAAATACACAATTTACAAACATAAGTATAAAGAAAGAGATCACTGAGCCGAGTAACAGGGTGGATATATATATTTATATACGTTTGGTGCCGCCGATTGAAGCCAAAATACGAGGTGCACATCTACATGTTATAGCAGTCCTATACATACAAAATTTCAACGTTCTGAGGCTACTCGTTTGAGTTACGTACGTACAGACGCCACGGAAGATTGTCTTTAGAATTAATTTTAGATTAGTTTTACAATTTTTTTGAGGAGAAAAAGTTCTTTATTCTGTCCTTACAAACAGATTTCAAGCAAAAACATCGTTAAATTGCATTCGATAGCGGTGAAAATGGATATTTGCGTTTAAATATGATACCTGAAACTTTTCACGATTACAATACTTCATTTTTATTTCATACAAAGAAGTAAAAAAGTATAGGTCAGTTTTTTTAATTCCTTCATTCAATAACGTCATTCCTTCCTTCTTTCAGTTGTTAGTTGTGACAAAGTTGACCAGATCGCTTCGATTTATTTTACAGTTTTAAACCACATGCCAGAATATTTTGCTCTTGTGTTTGTTTCTTATAGCTCAGAAATTGAACTTGAGACATTAAGCACCTTAAGATATCATTCTAAGTTGTTCAGTATTTTAGACATTCCTGCAAATAAAACTTATGATATTGAGTGGCAGCAATTTGCTTGCACAGTTTAAGGGCGAAACTTCCAGTTTAAGAAATCAGTTTAATTTTTAAATATTGCTAATATTTTCATGACTCAAAAAGCAAATTTTGCACCAGTAACTTTATCATAATCCATATTAACACTTGTTATGCTTTATTTGAAAATTACCCACTTAGATTATTTAGAGTCCAAATCGACAAGTCTACTTCTCAAACTAATTACTAGAACCAAGAAAACTATTTTGAATGCACTTTCTTCGCTTTAATAGTAAGTACTCAATAATGAGCTCCAGATGCGCTGAATATAATTAAGGAAGTAAATACAAGTTACATAAACAATGGATTTCAAACCTAGTAAGCTAAACTTACCACAGAGAAACGTTGAAGCTATATATTCGTAAAAAATACCAACATTTTACGTCATAATGCGGTTTAACATAAAAATTTCTAAAAAATATTTTACATCAAAAGATTCATATGAAAATATTATCAAGACAGTTATTACAAGAAAGAAGAAATTCGAAGAAAATTTTTTCATTTGCTCATTTACAATATAGATAACATTTTTTCAGTGATCATAAGAGGCTTCAGTAATCAAGCTGTGATCAATTCAGAACTTATATCTGTCGTTAATTCTCGCCAGGATTGAATTCTTTCTTTTATAAACGTTGTGTCAATAAGTAACATGAATTTATTAAAGCTGTATTGGAAATTCCATAAAAATTGCAAAGAGGCCATTCGACTACAAGACATTTGGTTGCACGTTCGCTCAAAAGAGTCCACTCTTCCTTTCGTAGAATTATAAAACTACAATAACAGACTTGTTGCTTTCTGCATTTATGAATTTATCATTTGACGTTGAAAGAATAAAATTTACATAGTTTTGGCTTGTAAGACGGGAAAATCTATTGTTATCAAAGCAGAGCAATGATGTGCCTATTTTTTTAATCTTTTACACCGAGACATTCATCTGTAGTTTCTCATCTGTTTTTCCGTAAAGTACCAACCATGGTAAGTTTAAGAAGGTAGTTTAGAAACTCGGTAGTCACTAAAAGACAAATAAACCAATTACCCATGACTATATTATGATTTGATCTATGTATAGACTTAAAGCTTTCAGCTCATGGACGATTTTTAATATTTGTAGACTTCCCAACATAAATAATGTTCTATCAGATATTTGGCAAATAAGCGTGTTATGAAAATATCACACGAATTTCAAAATTATAGCTTACGTAGAAGCTAGTTTCGTAAAATTTACAAACACTTCTCGTGCTGTAATCGAATATAAGCAAATAAGGCAAGTACCGCAGAATGCGTGCCTTTCCAGGTCAAATAAGATTACGGATCATTTATTCAAGAGATGCAAGTTTCCTATGGTTAATTTTGTTTCTCAAAAACTAGCCATATAATTATATTGCCTTACATAATAAATGAGTAAAATGCCATGAATGTTAAAATATTTTCTAGTACTTAATCTTTGTTTACAGTAAAAGACAAAAACTTGGCAGGTCAACTTACCTTCCCTTCATATAAAATCACAGGTATTGGAAATCTTGATCCGAGCCTGGCTCTAAGTGAATCATTAAGGAGTTCTTCGAGATCATCAACAAACCTGTCGCTATATCAAACAAATTTGTTTAGTAGACAGTTCCTAAACTAAAAAACAATTTCAATATTTGAAATACTTTTCAAAACAACTCAAAAGGTCTTATTTGATATTCTTATTTACCTCCAAGAAAACTTGTAGTTACGCTGTTTTGGTATATTATTGGCAAGATTTCATTGCTAAAGTTAGTGATTGTTAAAGTTCTGGATGAAATTATCGTAAAACGCGCAATTTTCCTCAGATGAGCTACATCTTCGCAGGGGGACCGAGAAAAATTCTCATATTTGTTATAAAAACTGAATTCTAGTTTGTAAATGTTATCAGTTATAACTAATAACATGCAAGGAGAAAGTAATTACAAGCAATAAATTATATTAAAAGTATAAAATTAGCACCGCAATTCTCTATTTTAAAAGGTTCAAGAATATGAAGAATAGAAGGCCAAGATTATGAAAATAATATTTTAATTAAAGATAAAACAAGAAAAGGTTAAAATACTGTAAAATATAAATTGTTAATCATTACAATTCCATATGATCAGTAATGACCTCAATGGACTGTTTCTACAACACTTCAGGAACAGCAACTGAAATTCAATAATATCGAAAAAAAGATGCGCGAGTTAACAGTTGAACCTAATTTTCCTGATGGAGTAACTTTCACAAATGTACCGTATACATTTATGTGGAACCATATACATTTATTTCCAGGCAGGGCAGTAAATTACTTTAACGAGCCAAAAACGTTAAGTAAGCTAAAATCTCTCCAAACATTCACTTTTAAATATTAATTGATATAATTATTACGTGACGTTTTCGAAGATTCTTCGACGCCATTTTTTTAATACAATCCGCTTGCTCTGATTTTTTCAAAAGTACTCGCATGTGCTGACATCCATCTATAAAATAAAAGCTGAAACAACCCCGTACGTGCTAATCAGGTTGCAACTGAATAAAAGTATACTCGAACCTTTTGCAGCAATCGAAGGTCCACATATGTGGGCATCTGAAGTCAAGAGTGTATAGGATATTCCGACTGGAAGTGGCTAGTCTCCACCTTATCCATGGGAAACATCACGAAAACTAATGTCAGCCTGTTCGAAGCGATTTGAGCACGGATTGGAATACCAGTATTCAGCAGTTTTCTTAGCTGCAGTGAGTTCCCTGAATCTATTCAGAAAGAGCACAGTTTGAGATGTTATTCAATCGGTCACTACCGATAGGAAAACATTAAGGAATTACATCTACACCCCTGCTTAAGCATTAAAGCGGCATGAATTGTAGCAGTTTTTAAAGTTACGTTTAGTATATACATTTCTTAAACATTTGTACCGTAAAGGTGACGATGCTTTTAAATCTGAATATATTAGTACCTTAATTCATTCTTTAAATACCTAACTTAAAGCGAACAATCTATAGTATATAAATGCTGTTAAACCCAGAGTATAATAATTAAACTTTGGCAAATAATTTTAGACTATCGCATAATTATGTCATTTGAGGATCATTAAAAATCTATGCATTAAGAATTTTTATGGACAAAGTAATAATTGATACTATTCTTTATAAAATCAAAGTTTCACGTATTCATAAAACTAAAATTACGCTACAAATTGTTAAAAAATTGATAGTTCATTTGTAAACAGAAAACGCATGAAAATGAACAAGATAATTACCTAAATGAATCCTTGTGAAAGGGAATGAGGAAGTCTTCCGGATAATGAGGACAATATGTTTGGTATGCATTTCCTAGAGCCTGTCATTAAAATTTCCGATTTCATGAAATATTTAAAAAAAGAAACTCATTTAAAATCAGTTGAAAATGACAAAATCATTTAATTTAACGTCACTTGGTTATTACCTGGTTATCGCCAATACACAGTGAACATATAACGATTTTTGTGTATATTTCTACATTAGCATTACGATAGAAAGAACTTTTCTTTAAGCCAAAAATTATTTGGCAGGAGCACCAAACTTATATTCTGCAGTTTGCTTACATGAACTTTGGTTTGGTTTATTTGATTACCGCAAAGCACACGAGGCTATCTGCCCCATAGCAGAGATGGAAGACTTTAAAGGAAACTGGCTTGTATACACGCTATATTAATTCCCGCTGTAAAACATAATATGCAACCAAAGCACACGTTATACACGGAGAAAACCACGAAAACGCCATGCAGCTAGCCCGTTCGCGGGCTTAGAAACTCGGATCGAACTACCAGAGTTCAGCGATTTTACCGCTCGTTCACTGGTGGTCCAAGAGTTTTGGTAAACTATACGGAGAATGATGTTCTTGAACCAGTTCGCACTTCTCATATTTACAATTTTTCAAGAAAGTTCTAGGCAAATCTAAATGCAAAATGTTGTCGAGTTAAGAAGAAGAAACTAAATGCTATTCCAAGAGCTTTCCGAAGGAATACTGTTATTAATAAAAGAAAGAAATACAGATATGTGTTTGCTGTAATTGGTTTGAAATTAACGTTGAAATAAAAAAAGCCAACTTCACCCTCTTTCAGAGAAAGAAAGTTACGAGATCGCTCCGTAAAAGAACGACTTCTAAAGGTTCCCGCAATTTCGTAAGAAAGAACAGCCATGGGTGTAACTATAAGTGTTTTACATGCGAGTACCGGCTAATACCCAAGTACTAACTTGTTACAAAAAATCAAAGTTAAAAATAATTGTGTAAATTGCACAACACCTTAAGAATTACTCACAGCACATTCGTAGTCTTGAGAAATTAGATCAAAACATACATTGTTGATGGCCTGGTCTTCCTGCAAAAGTGAACAAAATGTAACAAAGCTAGTTAGATAATACATACAAATAATTAAAATTTCAAAAGTCTCTGACATTTACTGTATTTAGCTGCATTTATTTTGCAAATGCATCTTTTTTGTACCTAATGTTAAATCATTAAACACATCAAAGGAGGTAATAAAGTTTCTTTAACTGCAGTTCGATAGTTTAAAATCTAAACAAAGAACTAGTTGTATTCTTTTTAAATATTGCGCACCTGTTTTGAAAATTGCACCAAAACAGTTTAAATTTATATAAATGCTTTACTTATCCGTATGATTTCATACAAATTACCAGATGAAAATCGAAGTTGTTCAGATTAAATCCATCGGTTTGGTTTAATTGATTATGGGAAAGCATACTAAGGCTATATGCTTAAGGTGATGGGTGCCTTCGGGAAGGACTTCTTAAAGGAAACTATCTATTAATCCCATAGGAATGTGGCTTGGTCTTAAATTGAACTGCAGAATAACTTAGAATTTATCAAATATTTAGTGAAGGAGAAAACATACGGAAGAGAACGTAAGAAGTTTAATTTTAAGAGGAAAGGAACAACATTTAAATTTTAGCTTTAAAGCAATTAGTTATGCAATTAGTATAAAGTTAAATTCAACAGTTCATTCTTGATTTATTTAAAACATACTCCGATAACATGAATACAGATCTGCGAACATATTGCGGAAGAATTATACAGTACCTTATAAGTTTTGGATCTCGTAGAGCGAAGGAACGCTGCTCTCTTGATAATTTTTTTCAGTAATTCTTTGGTTACTAATCTTTCCACCCTTGCCCGTTTAGCTCTTGGTGCCATCTACTAATAATTAATGGCTTTATACTTTAACCGTAGCAGTAGCTTCCTTTAAAATGCGCGTGTCTAAAATTCTCAATCGTCTATTTATAACTTTCATTTTCAGATCTAGGATAAGAATGACCAATAAGGCTCAACATGCAAATTTTTGTGCTTCTTCTTTCTGTAGCAGTATCCACCAGGGGGATGCGTAGTGCAGGGAGAAAATTATGACACATGCGGATGACGTCATGTGGGTGACAGCATGGACCTTTTCTTATAAGGTCCATGGGTGACAGTTCTTGGCGTTCGTTTACATTCGTTGCATCAACAGTTTGATTTGATTTGTGTTGTTAATTTGCTATTATACCTAGTCGGAAGTGGCAAATTGTGCTATAGCGTTGTGTCAGAATTACACACGCCACACGTTTTTTGGCGGAAAACACTCTTTACAACCAGATAAAATGACTGACTATTTTTTTTAATGAATTTATGTAGTTTTCATACATAACTGTGATGTAATTTTAATTTATTTTTCATTTTACAGCTATTTTACATTTAAAATTGAAAAATTTCTCATTTTAAATCATTTTTTATCATAATCTTCATTTTGTGAATGAGACTTGCATCATAGTGAGATAATTAAACTCAGTGTCATGTTTACCAATACTGAGTAGCTGAATGATTAGTTGATAAATTCGCGTATCCAACTTCATTCACATGTTTTCGTTACTTTCTTTACATCCCAAATGTAATTCTATGTATTGAAGCAATGTCTGGGTTAAGCATTGCGAACTAAGTAAACTGATACGTGTTTCACCGTGAGGAAAGAACAATTTCTCGACCACACTATGATGCAAACACCGAATGAGTGAGTGACATATTTCCTTCAGTATTATTTAACTGATGCGTATATTTGATGTAATTTAATTGATATAACTAAGTGAACTTACATATGCTTGACCCTGAAGGAAAACAAATCTGTGTATTGTGCTGGAATACAAATAGCGAAAGATTACGTAAGATATTCTCTTCAGTGTTATTTAACTGCTGCATATGTTTTAATTTTGATTCCATAAAATTTTTTTTTAATTATAAGAGAAAGACAAATAATTAACTGCTCCAGCGCTGCTCTGCCGTTCCCATTAGCAGCACCATACATGAGACGCATGTCAGCTTTTTCCCTGTGCGTAAACTCACCCATCACGCTCGACATCAGCGCTGCGGATGATACTCTGATGTATCCGATCGTGGTTTGTCAGGCTCACTACCACTCTCTACCGCTGCATTGCCAGCCAATCACAGCTGTAGTTCCTATTACTGTTAATGTTCCTTTTTGAACATTTATTGTGAATACTGTATTGCTGCAAAGAAGCACTTTGCGTTGATTTTTGTATATAAACACATTTTCCTTTCGTGTCTTTTTTTTTTTGCGTTCCTGATTTAAACCCTAAACTCGTCACTTTAGACCCTACATTCCTATACAAGAAATGCATGTTTTAGTACGCTGCACCACCATCCCTCCAAGTTTGTTCCATGATCTATGAAACACCCTGTATATTATTATAACGAAATTTTGTTAAGGTAAATAGGTGTCAAGAAAATTATGTGTGATTCGGGAATTCTTACTAGCAGTTTAGCAGAGAAAAGTGAATTTTTTATAAATACTAAAGTGTTAGTAAAATAATTGGTGCATACTATGCATCAACGCAGCCACCTTTTCGCAGTTCCAACAGTTTCAACATTTTTATCTCCAGCGAGTGAGACTGTGTATCGGAAATTCTAAAGATATACTCTTTTTACATTATCTTGTGATACTGCTGTTGAATTGAATTGTATGGTTTAAGTGCGAAGAACATAAATTTTTAATAAATTCATGTTTAATAAATAAAGGTAACAAACAAAACGTTAAAGTATACCAAAACTTTAAAGTATATTAAGCCATTTGAGCTTAATATAAAAATCTGAAAGCTTTTTTTTATTTTATTTATTTAATTTTTTTGGAGGAGGGTCTTGCAGAAATTTTATGGCGATCGCATTTAATAACAGATTCAAAACAACCGATTAACAACAGAAATAACCTTTACCAATTTTCGCAAAATATTGTGTTCCTGCAGAAATTTTAAAGTGGGTTTTTTTCATTCCTAACAAATGCTTTTAAAGAGTTTAAAACAGTGTAAGATAAAAAATATCACGATTAGTCTATAAATTTTAACTCGGAATACAACAAAAAGAACTTAAATGCTAAAATAGGTTTAATTGAAGAATTATTATGAGTATAGTTATTTCGCTTAACAGTTGTTATGTGCTTGGTTTCCAAAGAGTGTCGTATTCTTAAAATTTGGCGATTTCTTTTAAAGTGGTTGTGATAATACGTAAGTACTAAATAATTAAGTACGTCACATTATTTAAAACTTTTTTTCAAATACTAAATACTTATTAATCAATTTTCAGTGTGTTCAAATACTTTAAAAAAATATTAATATCAAAGATTTGAAAATTTACAAAAGAAGCAAGTTTCTATTGTTCCCTGAAGCAGCAGAAAATATTCTTTCTCTCTCTCTCTCTCTCTCTCTATATATATATATATATTCTATAACAAAAAAATCGACGGACCAAGGAGTTGTTCCACGGAAATAAAATCTGGTGGATAGGAAGACTATGTACAGAATAGATGATTAAAATTCTAGAACAAGTGAAATGATTTATTTCATAGTTACAAAGCAACGAGCTCATAAATGTGTTGACCTACCTCTAGCCTTGATTCAAGCTGCCACACGACGTGGCATAGACTACAAAATCTCCCAGATGGTTTCCTTCTTCTTGCAAAATTTTCTCCAATTGTCTGGCTAGGTCATCAACATTTCCTGGTAGATGCAGTCGCCTTCCCATCATATCCCAGACATGCTCGATGAAAGAGAGATCTGGCCATTTGGATTGCCAAGGAAGTGTTTGACAAGCTGTAAGACAGTTTGTAGCAACACGTGCAGTATGTGGTCTGACATTATCTTGCTGAAAAATAAGGCCAGGGTACTGCAAAAGGAATGGTAGGAAAACAAATCATAGTATGTCTTCGACGTACCGCTGTGCTGTAAGTGTGTCTCTAATGACGACTAAAGGACTTGTATGGATATGCTATCAAGGGAAATGGCAACCATAACTCCTAATTGAGGGCCTATGTGGCATACAATAGTGAAAGCAGGATTGAGGGCCTATGTGGCATGATCGGAACGCTGCGTTTACAGACAGACACGTCTTTGATGACACGTCTTCGATATCGCTGTTGCTAAGCCAGATAAATGTGACTGTGAGAAAAACAAGCGATTAAATTCAGCTTTCTTTACAGTAAAGAGTGTAATTAAAATTAATGAGTGTTCATTCTGTTTCTGGAAACTGCTCCTCAAGCGATAATTGTTAACGCAATAAACTCTCGAATAAAAAAATTACCAATAAAATAAAAAATCACAGTTCTACTGATTGAAGTAATTTAGGAATCACAAGCAAAGAAATTCGTTTCCATTGCTCTTTCAAACTTCATACAGAACAAAGATAAGCAAGAAAGTAAATCAATTTTCTCGAAAAGAAATTTGCCTTCTATTACAACTTCTTTTACTCTCTGCCTGAAGATTGTATGTATTCGAGGAGGACTTGAGAAACCGGCTGCTATTTATGTTATACATCAGAAAAACGACTAAGATACCTACAGTGACCCAAGAAAGCATTGGGGTATAAGTTTCAAATAATCTAGGATAAAAATTCAGCTATTATTTAAAATTCAAATTTTTATTTTTTTCTGTACCTAAATACTACGTGAAATCTACTATGATGAACAAATTACAGTGTTAAGTAAATGAAATATATTAAGTACCATTAATTTTACATACGAAACTAAGGTAAAAAATTATTGGGACATTGAAGTAACAAATAAGATAATGAGACAATCCTAACAGAGTTTTCTTATAAAAGGCCTAGAAGGCTTTTTAACTAGGAACAGATAAAGTTGAGGAGCTATTTTGTTAACATGAGTTAAAAAACGAATTTCTTTTGTTGCGATTGAGGAAAATTAGGAGAAAGTAAGTGATATATTGAATGTAAGCATATCAAATTTTCAAAATATAATTTCGAAATATCGTCAAAAATAAATTGTTAAGAAGCCCAAAGTTTCCGATAATGGGGAAGAAACGTGAATCATTCAAAATATGTATAATCTTAAATCCAGTGCAGCCAAATTGATATTGAAGCCAAATAATTATTCAGAAAATCTTTTAGTGAAGAAACTACTGAGCGCCGCCTGAGATAACCACTGACCTGACTTTGTTGTAAACGTCTTACAGTGTTAATAGTCGTCCTGGAAGAAGGGAATATTTCTTCCGTATAAAAATATAAATATAAATATTACATGGGCATACAAGTCCTGTGTATAAGCATAGATATGTTAATTGCAAACATTGTTTTGTACAAGTTACGTGTGATAGTTATATAAAATCATGACAGTTATGTGTACATTTAAACATTGTATGAATTCACATTTACAATACTTTTACCGAGGCAATCAAAGTAAACTTGTAATTCATTTACACATTGACTGGATTTTCAATGTCATTTTAAAGTGCTTTACAATATTATTTTTATATACAAACTGGATAGTAATATGCTTACATTACAATAGTTTTGCTCTTACAGTCCTGTTACTATTCTACGGGGTGAGCTATTTTTCTAGTGTTGATATTCAGTTGTAGTATTTTGAATTGCTATTAAAAATATGCTGCGAAAGTACAATTCTCAAGGGAGGGGCAGAATTTCTTAGTACATTGCTGAGAATAGCCTGATCACCTCCTCTATTTTAGTTTTCGTCTGCTTATTGCCGCAGGTATTCTCCGCCCATTGCGGCCAGTATTCACTGTTTGGCTTTTTTAAATGCAGTTTATCGGTTTGTGGGCAGTTGAAGAGGAAGTGATCTGCATCATCTACCGCACCACATTCACACAATTCTGATGCTCGTTTGCCGAATCTCTTAAGATAATGTGGGAAGGGACCATGGCCAGTGTAGAATTGAGTTTGTGCTCC